CCGGAATATTGTTGTTCAGAAGAGTACAATAACCCAAACATATGCAAGCCAACCAACTATTCTCAAGTATTTAAAGCTGCTTGTCCCAAGGCTTATAGCTATCCGTATGATGATGCAACCAGTACTTTTACTTGTAGCGGAGCTGATTACACCATCACTTTTTGCTGAGCCACCGAGAATGTGGTTTGAAAGAGCACCATTTAGCTTACGAAAACATGTATAAAAGTAGTGCTGAAGAGGTAGAAATGTATGTGTGCTTGAAATTATAATTATTTCATTCACATATCACGCTAGTGGTTCATAAACTATGTAGTAATATTTCAAAACACGAAATGATCGTTATTTTCCATCTACTAATTGCATGATTATTCAATGTATTTAAATTTACCATTTTCGTTATGAGAGAAATAAAACTTTGATTTTTTATTTTGTGAGAATTGGAACTAGCTAGTTTTCATAAGAGAAATGGAAGTAGCTTTTCGTTATATGTTAATGATTTAAGACAGAAAGGAGGAGAATATCGTGTGATTTCAGAAATTCAGACAGCATTTTTGGGACTAGATCAAGCAAGACCATTACGCTCGATATCCATTAACCTGAACTAAGAACTAAAGAAAGGTTAATTTGTAATATGAATTATAACATTTCATTATTTCACTCTTTTTTCTTTATTCAGGGTTTAATACGTATATATTATTTTCCAGCTTTTCGATTGATTCTATTTTCATTATATGTGATGAATGATTTTCTGATGCGAAATATTGAATTCAAATTACTATATGATACCACGAAACCCTTCATAATCGATCATAAATTCATTCTTTTTCATTTCTTTTTCCTATTCCCACAAAAACACATACGTTTCGTTAGGATTTACATTCATTCCGAGCAACGGTCGGAAATAGTACTAGTAACTAGTATAAACAAAATTAACTATTGCAAACAAAGGAAGGAAGATTATTCATGAATTTAAAGTTAAGGTAAAGTAAGTGGAAGAAAATTTTAACGCCAAATTTCCTAAATCCAAAAAATTAAGTGCGAGTAAATTTTAATCCCAAATTTCAAAAATCCAAAAATGCAAGAAAATTACAGATCTAAGGAAAATAATGGCTCAACTTAGTTTAGGAGATTTACCTTAATCTAATACAGGTATCCGTTTGAAAAGAAAAAAGCTCTTAATAAGGTTTGTCCCTACGAATTTAACTTTAGTAAAAAAATTGGCCTAACATCTGATAATTGATACATTGGCTTGTTTCCACAAATTTAAATAGCCGATCGAGTTAGTGTAACAATTAAAAGAAATTTGATTTGGTGAAGCGACAGGAAACACACCATGTGCAACAATAAATTTGCCACTTCAAAAGGGGTGGATTTCAGGAGAAAAAGAGTGTTTTTCAATTGTACTAATTATCTTTGCGGTCTATCAGTATCAAACAGTATCTGGAATTTTAACTGTGGTTTAACATCCTTTTCCTCTCCTAGCGGAACCGAAGGTAGTAAACGAGCTAGAGACATTTTTCCGTAAAATATATTCTTTCACTTTCAAAATAATTGCATTTTTGGTTTTACAAAAATTATGATCTTGTGTTATTAAGTAAATGTGATTACAAATATATGGAAAAATACCTTGAAACTTTAAAATGATAAAAGATCAAGATCTTTTAAAATTTTTTGCTTAAACTTGTAGATTAGAGTTGATAGCAGATTTGTGTTAAGTTTTTGTTTCTTGTTTGTTATGTACCTAGAAAATTGAAGTACAGTAATTAATCTGTAAACTATCCATCTCCAATTTCGCAATATTACGCAATCCCGATGTAGCTAGGAAATCACGGTGTCTAAACAATACACAACATGGAACCAACCTTACTAAGTTTGTGTTTGGTATATTTTTGAGCAATGAGAGATAATGAAAAAAGGTGTGTTTCTACTTGAACGACAATCATTGAAAGTTAAGTATGCAATCCTGACCATTGAAAAAAAAAATGCAATAATAACAACTGGAAGATCTTGGTTCCTTTTTGTTCTTTTTGGTAGTCAATATTATCATTCATTATCCATTTCTAAAATATTGGGATAAGATTGATACATTTTTACTACCATTTTTTACATCATCTTCTAATTGTGAGCTTTATAAATACTGCCTATTTCTCCCCGGCAAACTCATTCATTCCTTACGATTATTTGTTCTTTTCAATTTCAACTATAAGCATATTTTGTGGACATCATCATATTCAGCAACATTAACAATCATGGCATTGTGGCATTTTTCCGTGGTCTTTATTTTCTCTTGTTTTTCGGGTACGTACTTTGATCAATTCGATCGACAACTGGGGTTTTCTTTTTTGTTGCATTTTAATGTAATTCTTATTTTATTTCCTTATAATTTGTTATCCTTATCACAGGTGTAGAATCAGCTCGTTTCACCTTGCATAACAACTGCCAGAATACAATATGGGCAGGGATCTTATCCGGCTCAGGAAAACCCTTGCTCATGAATGGCGGATTAGAGTTGAACTCTAACGAAGCTGTCCCGGTCGATGCACCGGCTGCATGGTCTGGCCGGTTTTGGGGCCGAAGCGGATGCACATTTGATGAATCCGGCAAAGGAAGTTGTGCCACCGGAGATTGTGGTGGTGTCTTACAATGTAACGGCGCAGGGGGTGCACCCCCTGCCTCCCTGGCGGAATTCACTCTCGACAGCCCCGTAGATTTCTACGACGTTAGCCTTGTGGATGGATACAATGTTCCAATCTCAATAACCCCTTCTGTAAACAACTGTACAGAGGTGAAATGCACCTCGGATTTGAACAAAATCTGTCCGAAAGAACTACAACTCGAATCCAACGGCGCGGTGATTGGATGCAAGAGCGCCTGCTTAGCATTCAACAAGCCGGAATATTGTTGTTCAGAAGAGTACAATAATCCAAACATATGCAAGCCAACCAACTATTCTCAAGTATTTAAAGCTGCTTGTCCCAAGGCTTATAGCTATCCGTATGATGATGCAACCAGTACTTTTACTTGTAGCGGAGCTGATTACACCATCACTTTTTGCTGAGCCACCGAGAATGTGGTTTGAAAGAGCACCATTTAGCTTACGAAAACATGTATAAAAGTAGTGCTGAAGAGGTAGAAATGTATGTGTGCTTGAAATTATAATTATTTCATTCACATATCACGCTAGTGGTTCATAAACTATGTAGTAATATTTCAAAACACGAAATGATCATTATTTTCCATCTATTAATTGCATGATTATTTAATGTATTTAAATTTACCATTTTCCTTATGAGAGAAATAAAACTTTGGTTTTTTATTTTGTGAGAATTGGAACTAGCTAGTTTTCATAAGAGAAATGGAAGTAGCTTTTCGTTATATGTTAATGATTTAAGACAGAAAGGAGGAGAATATCGTGTGATTTCAGGAATTCAGACAGCATTTTTGGGACTAGATCAAGCAAGACCATTTCGCTCGATATCCATTAACCTGAACTAAGCATTAAAGAAAGATTAATTTGTAATATGAATCATAACTTTTCATTATTTCACTCCTTTTTCTTTATTTAGGGTTTAATACGTATATATTATTTTCCAGCTTTTCGATTATTCTATTTTCATTATATGTGATGAATGATTTTCTGATGCAAAATATGGAATTCAAATTACTCTATGATACCACGAAACCCTTCATAATCGATCATAAATTCATTCTTTTTCATTTCTGTTTCCTATTCCCCACAAAAACACATACATTTTGTTAGGATTTATATTCATTCCGAGCAACGGTCGGAAATAGTACTAGTAACTAGTATAAACAAAATTAACTATTGCAAACAAAGGAAGGAAGATTATTCATGATTTTAAAGTTAAGGTAAAGTAAGTGGGAGTAAATTTTAGTGCCAAATTTCCTAAATTCAGAAAATTAAGTGCGAGTAAATTTTAAGCTTAAATTTACAAAATCCAAAAAATGCAAGAAAATTACAGATCTAAGGAAAATAATGGCTCAACTTAGTTTAGGAGATTTACCTTCATCTAATACAGGTATCCTTTCGAAAGAAAAAAAAAAACTCTAAATAAGGTTTGTCCCTACGAATTTACCTTTAGTAAAAAAATCGGCCTAACATCTAATCCTTGATACATTGGCTTGTTTCCACAAATTTAAATAGCCGATCGAGTTAGTGTAACAATTAAAAGAAATTTGATTTGGTGAAGCTACTGGAAACACACCATGTGCTACAATGAATTTGCAACTTCAAATGGGGTGTATTTCAGAAGAAAAAGAGTGTTCTTTAATTGTAGTAATTATCTTTCTGGGCAATCAGTATCAAACAGTATTTGGAATATTAACTGTGGTTTAACGTCCTTTTCCTTTCCCAGGGGAACAGAAGGTAGTAAACAAGCTAGAGACATTTTTTCGTAAAATATGTTCTTTCACTTTCAAAATAATTGCATTTTTTATTTTACCAAAATTATCATCTTGTGCTATTAAGTAAATGAAATTACAAATATAAGAAAAAATACCTTGAAACTTTAAAATGATAAAAGATCAAGATCTTTTCAAATTTATTGCTTAAATTTGTAGATTAGAGTTGATAGGAGTTTTGTGTTAATTTTTTTTTTCGTTATGTACCTGAGAAAATTGAAGTACAATTCATCTTCAATTTCGCAAAACTACGCAATCCCGATCTAGCTAGGCATTCACGGTGCCCAAACAATACAAGGAACCATCTTTTCCAAGTTTGTGTTTGGTACATTTTTGAGTAACGAGAGATAAAGGAGGAAGAAGATATGTTTTTACTTTCTTTTTTTTTTTACAAACGATAGATTAAAAAAAAGAAGATATGTTTCTACTTGAACCACAAACCATTGAAAGTTAAGTATGCAATCTTAACCATTGAAAAAAAAAAATGCAATAATAACAACGGGAAGATTTTGGTTCTTTTTGTTTTTTTTGGTAGTCAATATTTTCATTCATTATCCATTTCTAAAATATTGGGATAAGATTGATACATTTTTACTACTATTTTTTACATCCTCTTCAACTTTTGAGCTTTATAAATTCTGCCAATTTCTCTCCATCTAACTCATTCATTCCTATTCGATTTAAACAATAAGCATACTTGGTGGACATCATCATCTTCAACGGACAACAACAACAATCATGGCATTGTGGCATTTTTCCTTGCTCTTCCTTTTCTCCTGTTCGTTAGGTACGTATTTTGATCAACGCGATCGACAACTGGGATTTTTTTTTTTTTTGTTGCATTTCAATGGAATTCTTATTTTATTTCCTTATAATTTGTTATCTTTATCACAGGTGTACAATCAGCTCGTTTCACCTTGCAAAACAACTGCCAAAACACCATATGGGCAGGAACCTTATCCGGGTCCGGGAAACCATTCCTAATGAATGGCGGATTAGAGTTGAATTCTAATGAAGGCGTCCCGGTCGATGCACCGGCTGCATGGTCTGGCCGGTTTTGGGGCCGCACCAAATGTACCTTTGATGCATCAGGCAAGGGAAGTTGTGCCACCGGAGACTGTGGTGGTGTCTTACAATGTAATGGTGCAGGTGGTGCGCCGCCTGTCTCCCTGGCAGAATTCACTCTCGACAGCCCGGTAGATTTCTACGATGTTAGCTTAGTGGATGGATATAACCTTCCAATCTCAATAACCCCTTCTGTAAACAACTGTATAGAGGTTAAATGTACCTCGGGTCTGAATCAAATCTGCCCAAAAGAGCTGCAACTCGAATCAAACGGCGTGGTGATCGGATGCAAGAGTGCATGCCTAGCATTCAACAAGCCGGAATATTGTTGTTCTGGAGAGTACAACAATCCAAACATATGCAAGCCAACTAATTATTCTCAAGTGTTCAAAACTGCTTGTCCAAAAGCTTATAGCTACCCTTATGATGATGCAACGAGCACTTTTACATGCAAAGGAGCTGATTATACCATTACTTTTTGCTGAGCTAAAAATGTGGTCTAGAAGAGCACCCTTTAGCTTAGGGAAACATGTATAAAAGTAGTAAGGAGGGAAAAATGTACGTATTGATGTATGTGAATGTATTAATGTATGCCTGAATTTAATTTTTTTTTTTTTTTGGGTTAATGTATGCCTGAAATTCATTATTGAGATCATACACACCCCACTGATACGTAAAAGTTGAGTTACTTTGTCTTTATATCGAGAGATATTTTCTCATTATTTACAGAAACTTAACCATGATTTTTGTGTGGATGATTTGTAAAACAAGTCCAATGGTTACGATACCATAATTGGATTACAAAAATAAAAATAAAAATGTTTCTTTTGTTTTTGTTTTTTTTTTTTTTTGGATTTTATGTTAGTGTGATATTGCAACGTGTGTTTTCCTGTATTGATGTAGTCGCTGATAAAACACAAAAACGGTTAAGAAAAGTGCGATGCTCACCAGCTTTATAATATGTACCTTTGCGTAACTAATGAAATGGATGTGGTTGTTCTCTCCAAAGTAGGGGAGAAAACGAGGGAAACCAAAATAATAAAGCAACAAGAACAGAACAACTGTATGTTGACTAACCATAATTGAGAACGAGCTACATATAGTCGCAGAAAGACAAAATTGCGTGAATTCACGTCTGATCCAAGGAAGCTAAGGATGATGATATATTGTTCAAGAAACTCTGTCTCGTTAGAGTATTTAAAACCCCAACCACTCCTGGAAACAGGGGAAACAGGATGCGGAGGAAATGAGAAATCAGTCCAAATCTTATCTAACAGATCCTTAACAGATTGGGGTTGCAAAACAAACAGTGTGTAGCTAGCTATTCGAGTTTGAATGATCGATAGCATAATAATACTACTCCCTCCGTCCCAAAATTATTGTCCAGTTTGAGTTTTCACTTCTAATACAAATTGGACTAAAAATGAAAATCTAAACTGGACAATAATTATGGGACGGGGGAGTATTAACCAGTGCAATGGCAGAAGGAAGAGAAAAAACAGGTTAAAATGGATACATGATCCAATAGTAAGATAGGATTATCGGATTGTCCACCTCGCAAATACTATGGGAGAACGATACTATGTTAGGACTATAAATTCTATTGAAAATTATCTCATAGTAATATGTTTTTCCAAATTGATATTCAAAAATTATGATAATACAGAACTCAAGAACTAATAATTAGATTACTGAGGCACGTCTGAGAGTATTTAGTCCTACTCACTACTCATCATCCAAAGCTAAAAAGTCAGCATTGAAATCAACTTAATTATTTACACAAAGAAAAATTGTTGTTTTTGCAAACTTGACCTTAAATTTAGTTGGATTATCACTTAGCTTGTTGACTTTTGGGTATCATTTTAATACATTTGGAATGTACAAAAGATAAAAAAATAAATCGAGATCGTAACACTACCCCAAAAGCCGTGGGGGGTATTTTAGTAAGAGAGCACATTTTTGCAATGCTCAGGCAATCTCCCCATCCATAACTATGGATCAACTACAGTATAGAAAATTAGCAAACTTAATAAAATGCATCATGCAACACATATGACATCCTTTAAAACTGAATTTTTGTTTGAGCTCCAGCTTCCAAACTTACATTCTAAAAATAACTGTATATACAATCATAACAGCTGAGATCATCAGCATAATACACAGGACACATGATAATTGTTGTATATCAACAAACCCAAGGACCCTTTCCAAAAAAAAAAAAAAACACCCCCAAGGATACCAGTTCATTTAAGCTTCCAATCAGACGACTCAAATATTTTACACCTCAATTTGTCCAGAAGAATATTATTCTGAATATCCACTTGTGCATAGCAAAAAACATATTAACTACACATCTGAAAGTTTGAGTACCGAAAATCTACATCATGGAGACAATCAATCGCTGGAACGGAATGATGAACTTACCTGGAATATTGACAGTAATAAACCACTAGCTAGTGCCCGCAAGAAAAAGTGTTGAGCTCTTTTCAATGAAGATATTTGTCACAGGTTATTAAGATTTCAGCGACATTCATCTACATGTTTTGTGTGTATATGGGTTAGGTAAATTCCTTGCAGTTTGTGAAGAGATAATTCCTTTTGGTTGAAAACCTTCCTATGAAGTTCCACAGCAGCTGTATTTTGAACCTCCTGATAAAGGCTCCTGGGTTGGAACAACCAGCTTAGTTCCAGTGAGAAGTGCTGATTTGCCTGATTCTGCTTCCTCGTTAGCAACAAGAGATTTCTTACTGACAATCCGATAGATCTCTGATAGAACGGTAAGGAATGATGGTTCAACATTGGTAGCTTCAAGGGCAGATGTCTCCATAAAATACAAACCTTCTTTCTGAGCAAATTCTTTGGCATCATCCGTGGGTACATCACGAAGGCTCTCAAGGTCAGATTTGTTGCCCACGAGCATTATAACAATATTCTTATCGGCATGACCCCGCAATTCTTCTAACCACCTAGCTACATGATCAAAGGATGCACGCTTGGTTATGTCATACACCAGCATAGCCCCGACTGCGCCTCTATAATATGCACTTGTTACTGCTCGATACCTGAAACAACCACACAGCAGAATCGAATTGACTTAAAAGCTTGTATCCAAAGCGACCATCAACAGGGGCGATCAACAAACAAGACAAGGCATCATGTGATACAGTTGGCCGGAGACAATTATGTCCAACAGGGAACTAGTAGAAACCACAAACAAAATAGACCAATGGCGCATAAATCCAGACATAAATAAGTGACGAGCTAATTAGGAGCACATAGAGAACTTCACTGAAATAAGTGTTATCCAGGCAAATTTGAGTCGAAGGCTCAAAGCAATTTCTATTGGAAACATAAGGTACGACTAATGGTGCACAACCTAAAAAATAAATAAGCTAATGTCTAAGAAAGGGGATGTTAGGTCCTCCCGAGAAAGAGTTTTGTCCAGGCAACTTGTTGAAGTCTAGAAGCAATTTCTAACAAAAATGCATGACTCGGACAGACAGTCATGAAAGATATGATCTAGGCAGGAACCTCCTATTTTATGAAAAGAAGGCACAACTAGTCAAGGAAGATATAGTCTAAACATGAAACTCCTATTTAACCCAAACAAGGCACAAGTTTACTGGAAGGAACCTACATTACAATGTCCCATTTCCACAAATTTCCCTAATTTTCAGCATTTTAATCAAGCAATTTCGTCATAGTAGTCGCCATCGCAATCAAAAGGATCCGGCGTCCCTTGAGAAATTATCCGAGTTAGCATTGAAGGGACATACACTTCAACAAAAACCCAAAAAAACAATGATTAAAGATCATAGGGTCCAACACAGTATGGATAATAGTCCCAAACAATCATTGCAAGCAAACATACATGAAAAACACTCATCAATCGCAAATACAGAATATTGAAATCTCATCTCAACCAACAGCTAATCCACAAAATTAAAAAGGGGGAAAGTGTACCGCTCTTGGCCGGCGGTGTCCCAAATCTGAGCTTTGACGGTCTTGTGATCAATGACTACGGTGCGGGTCTGGAACTCAACTCCTATGGTGGCCTTAGAATCCAGGCTAAACTCGTTCCTCGAGAATCGAGCCAACAGCTGCGACTTTCCCACTGCTGAATCCCCAATCAGCACGATTTTGAACACGTAATCTATTTTCTGATTCAAATTTCCGCCGCCTCCAATACCACCGGCAGCACCACTTTTATACGAATTCGACATCTTTTTTTCACTGCTTTCCAATTTGATCTCGATTTTGATCGGTGTGTGCGGACACTGCTACGGTAAGTTGACGGCGGAGTAGAAGCGGTGTTACAACCTGAGGAGAAAACGCTGGCGAAGATCCAGCTCTGTCCGCGGCGGAGACTGGGGAGAGTGGGAGAGGGAATTAGCGTTGACCGCTTTTCTTTTCTGACCTTTCCAAATATCCTTTCTATTCTCTTTTTCTTTGCCGGAAACAACTTTTTGTTTTGTTTTTTTATCTTTTTTATTTTTATTTTTATTATTTTTGGTATTCTGGTTTATTTGTATCTTTTTTCTTTTGTTTTTTTTAACGGTAAAGGTGTCTACCACAACAAGATTTTTTAGATAGTAGTAGTATTGAGCTATAAAGCTTCCAGTTCCAGCCTTTCTCCTCATGTTTACCAAAAATTAAAAAATAAAAAATAAAAATTATGGATGACTGTATTTCTTTTGCTTTTATATCCCTGCTCTAATATGCAAAACTAAGTTCTTATAATTAGTGTCTACTCTGCACATTGTGCGTCTAGTATTAACCACAAATGTTGATTAGATTTTTTTTTACAAGAACAAAAAAAAAAAACACACAATTCATCTTTTTTTTTGGTACAAAGAAAGAGGTAAAAGTTTAAAAATATCTAGCTCAAAACAAAATATTGATATAAATTACAACCTATATTAACTAAGGATTTTATGGTCGAAGGTGGTTCATCCAACCATAAAACGCCATCCGAAACTTGCTAGGGAAATAGCGAAACTTGCTAGGGAATCCGCCGGGAAATTCTGCTCTTGGCCACGAAATTCATCTTTAAAAGAGAAGGAAGTATCTTGGTTTTCTCTTATAGGTGCTGTTCTCGTAGGTCTCAACCTTTTTTTAAAAAAAAAAAAGAAGAAATTGATGGTCTGAAGGAGAATTGAACTTTCAATCTCTTTGTAATAACCATCTCTCATCCTAATGTCCTAACCACCCCACATTACCCTTCCCTAAGATCTTTATCTATCTTTCTATTTTACCGTCATTGTTTGCGTTTTTCTAATTTAGTACTTCTCTCGTTTCAAAAAAAAATTATATTAAATTTTGAGATTTATACTTCATGTAGACTATTTTTTTAGAATAAAGAGAGTTTTTTTAGAAAAAAATGAATTTTCCCACTCTCCTTATAAAGTTGGTTTCATTTCTTTTAGATTTCTCATTTTCACTCAAATGTGTCTTCGTCTATAAACTAGTATTTGTCCCACGCGTTTGCGTGGGTGTGTAAAATGAGAGGGAAAGAACCAAACCTTCCCTATAATCATCACTAGTGCCGCAGCTGCCAAACCAAATCGTTCAAACTAAATCAATCAATGCAACAGTTGAAATTGGCATATATATGTCGTGAGTTGAAAGTTTTTATTCAAACAGAAAGGAATCAAAAACAAAAGAGAAGAAAGGAGAGTAGGATATCAAACTTAATATCTCCGATAGCGGCGGCGATAACAGAGGGTATAACAGTAGCGGCAGCAACGGCAGAGGGTGGTGGCGTAAGAGGCATAGGAGAGAATTTGAGAGGCACAAGAAAAAAATCTACTTTGGTGAATGATTTTACATTAATCTTATTTATAGAGGAAGAGAAGCGTATTAGAGAAGATTAAATTAATCGTATTAGAGAAGATTAGAGATTTGGAAGATTTGATTCTGATATATATTTTCTAAATTTAAATATTTACATTTTAAAACATATTAAAGAAGATAATAATCACATTATTTATTTTTTTGGAAATAAATAAGATAAAACATTAAAATAGTAAAATCCGGGTCAACAGAATTACCAAATTATTTTAACCGTTTAATGAAACTCAAACGTGGAGGTGGCACGTGTCCCTAAAAATTATTGATGGTCTAACTAAGCTAAATTATTTTCTGCGAACCACTCTCCTTATATATATATATATTATATATATATATATTATATATATATATATATTATATATATATATATATACTAGTGATGTCTTGTCGCGCAATGCACGATCCTGCCCAATATATATGTAGATCTTAGAAATGTTTGTATCTGAAAAAAAAATTTATATTTAGCCCGATATATTTTAGAAATTTTTTAAGAATTTAGAAATATTTTATAAGTGTGATCATAGAAATATTTGTATTTGGCATAAAAAGAAATTGTGTTTGGTCCAATATATTTTAGAAATGTTTGAAAATTTTAAAAATGTTTTATAAGTGTTACTTTTTAAATATAAATAAACTTGATCCAATATATGTCTTGAAGTAAATGCTAGACAAAATATGAAAGCATGTCAATAATTTTAAATATTAGTAAGATAATTTATTGATGTTCTCCATTTGTTGCCAAATCAATACTTAGTTTTGGAGATTTATAATAGCTTTGTAGTAAGCTTCCTCCCAAGGGTATACGCTTAATTGTTGGAACTATTTCTTCCAAAAGTTTATAGGTAGTAAAATATCAAAATTATGATTTTGAAACTGGTTAATTGTTGAAACTGGTTGATCACAAATATAAGAATGAAAATAATATAAATTTGCATAGGTTTCAAGTTATAGCAAAAAAGAACTCACCTCACCATGACAAATTAAGAAAAAAAAAGAAATTAAAAGATAGCCCATTAAAAATTGAGAAATTTATTTATATAAAAACACAAATAAACGTAGAAACATTATTCCTTCCCTCTCCGCCTCAAATTCATAAAAGGCTTCCCCATAAATTAATTAGAAGAAGCGACATGAACTATTTATATGATGAGGAACTAAAAAAAGTCCAAAAATCAAATCTAGAAAAGTATATTCTTGAAAGTCCGAACACAAAAAAAAAACGCGCTTCATTTGCAATAAACTAATAATAATAATAATAATAATACTAATAATAATAATAATAATAATAATAATAATAATAATAATAATAATAATAATAATAATAATTGGTCAATTGGGAGTATGAAACAAAATCAAAAGCAATTAAACAAAAAAAAACACACACACACTTCATAATTAACTATATACGGAAAAAAACAAGACTCCATAATTAAAAAAAAAAAAAAAAAACCACTCTAATTGAATGAAATATAAAAAAGAAATTACAAAAATCACATTATGTAACAAAACCCCAATTAATGAATTCAATCCAAATATAATTAAAATCATACAAAAATTCTAGGCTAACTAACAATATAAGAAATCACATCATATTACTTGACAACGGCTACGGTAACTGTAATAGATGGACGCATAAAAATAATAGTAATAACACTATTCTTGAACGAGAAAAATAAAAAAATAATAAAAGCCAAACAAATAATCTGTTGAAATAAAATCTTTTAAATTATAATACCTGTAATTGCACCACCACAACGGCCGAAGCAAGATCAATGAGAATTAATTTTTTTTCCCTTTGTGTTTATATAGAGAGGTAAAAAGAATATTTTTTGAAGTCGAAATTTTATCCGATTAGGATGTAATTGATCATTACTAATGAAAAGATTGAACATGCTAATTGGAACGGAGTATATTTCACCATATATTCTCAATTGATGATTGATGAGGAATTTGTCTTTTTTTTTTTTATTGTGGGGAAGGGATTGATTAGGGAGTCCATTGTGGTAGAAATGGAGCTAAGGATTTGGGTTTTCTATGAACCCCTGGTTTTTTGTTTTTGGCGAAAATAGGAGGTGGAGGTGGATTTGGACTGCATTTACCTTTTAAGTCTAGGAGATGTGGAAATAAAAATTTATTTTAAAAATATGATGTGAAAATACCACATGACAAATGGTGGTGCTTTCTCTTAAAATGTGATTTTTGTTTCTAATATAGTAAGATATATATATATATATATATGTATACTAGATGTTTGTCCCGGGCGAATGCCCGGGGCGCCTATATTTTGATTAAATAAAAAATACGAATCATTCTTAAAAGAAAAAAAAATAGAAGAATAAAAAATTGATTAAAAGGACAGGAAGTGTGTTATTACACATAAATATATGTCCAGATTTACAACATTTAATTTACAACAGTTAACTTATGCCTGGGTTTACATAAATCATAACCAATATCTATAACAGAAGAATTAAAAAAAAATCATCCTTAAAAAATCAAATTTCTTTCATGACAGCTTATTTTTTTCTCTGTTGTAGAAAGAGTGGATTGATAATTGATGTCAGATTTTAAGTAATTAATTTAAAGACCCGAGTGTGAGAGAGGAGCGGAATGGAAGAGATCCTTTAAAATTGAGGATTGGAAAGACATTACTGGTGTTTCACTTGATTTAAGGAGATTTCCTTATATTTGATTTTATCAACTAAATATTGTTGTTTTAAGGGATTAGTATATACCTATAATTAAGAGATTTTTATATAGCTATAATTAAGGGATTTATGTATTTATGTATTTATCTATTCCATCTTTTTTTTCTGATTAATTAGAGTGTCACGTGTCAAAAATGATTTTGTACTGAAAATGACTTTTGACGAGAAAATTTTCATTGTAGTGCTGACACATATCCTTTTTTTTTGCTGCTTTAATTAAGTAATATAGATATAGAGAGAGAGAGGATTCCTGCTCAGCTCAAGTAAGTGCAATATTTTTATTGTGTTGATAATCATATAAAGGACTAACAAAAACTAAAGGATAAAATATTAAATACTAATTTAGATTTTTTCTTAGCCTATCATATATATATCCCCATATATAAAATCTCCTTTTTAAGTAATTCTCCACGTTATTACCCTTGTAGTTATTTTGAAGATTAAAAAAGGTCCTTTCATGCATAAGAACCCAAACGTACAGATTTACCTCGGATGTAATTAAAGCCAACTGGTTTCATTTTCTTAAAAACAAACATAAAACAACTCGTAAAATTGAGATGGGAATAGGGGTGTTCACGGTTTGGTTCAATCCGGTGAAACCGCCCAAACCGGTCATTGGTTTGGATTAGCGGGCGGATTATAAATGAATTTATAAACCGGTAGATTTGAAAATTGAAAACCGGTCATATCGGTCCGGATTACAGTTTGTGATGTCAAACCGTCATCAAACCGGACCGGACCGTATATATATTATTAAATATAATATGATGGTTTTGTATATATTGGGGAGGATAATGACTTATATCGAAATTCTTAAGTTGTCTCAGTGGCATTATTGTTCCCCCCATTCTTATATTTGATTGAGGTCGTGTGTTCGAGTCCCCCCACCCACTAACATTTTTTTTTTTTCCATTTTTCCCCTAACCATCTAGGTTTTTTTTTCCTTCTCATTCGGTCATTCCCAAACTGAAGCAGTGAAGCCTCTGCCTCCAATTTCTTTTTTTT